TATATATGTATACATATATATATATATATATATATATATATGCATATTATAAAAATAGATTATAAAGGAACAGGCTTAACCATTGCATGTAACGCGTTGTCTTTGATGTTCTGCACCTTTTTCTATTAATTAGAAAAGATACATAATTATCATAAAGTTTTTTATTAATTGGATAACTAAATTCAAAAGTCGCAATGATTGAAAATAATTTAAAAAAATGACATTGCTTACTAACATTGACTCTTATCTTTTTTGCTCTCTTTCATGGAAATCATGTAACGCTGCGCTACACTCAGTGGTGGCGAATAACCGGATGTGTAATTAGCGTCTTCGAATAAAATTAGGTACTCTTCCGTAGCAGTAGTTGGTAAGCGATACACGATCCCCTTGTAAAAGCAGGTAGTTTGTGGATACAGTGCCATTACTATGGACCCTTTCGGGAATAGAGCTTGTGGATCAGTCTCGGGATTGGCCCTCATTAACGGCAACGGCACTACTCGTCTCCTCGACAATATGTGACGGTCCTTCTGCTCTTCGTCGATATCGTCCACTTCGTATTTATTCGTCGTGGGATTAAACTGCACGACTTCCGCGAGTATCCAATTCTTTCCCTCCGCGTTAGCTTTCACGAAGGCGACGACCATGTCACCTGTCTTTGCGATGTATGTAGGCTCGGCGGGTATCGCGCCGCACAGCGGTGGTGGCTTGGCGCCCGGTGTCTTTCCTACGTAAAGGGGTAGGGTTTGCGCGCTGCTCAGCAACATCTTCATCAGCGCGCCACGTCTGATGGCCTCCTTGTTACCGGCTTGACGCGCCTGTATGCGTCGCTCGTTTCTTATCGTGCGTATCTCGTTAATTTTAGTAAGAGCCTTGCGCAGGACTTCTTCTTCCTGCTGTGCGTCGGTCACTGCGGCGTTATATAAATTTTTCAGCTTTTGCTGATAGTAAGGGGAAACTTTGTCATCCGGTGTAACTTTTTCGTGAGTTTTCATGATATTACTTAAATTGTGCTCTGAGCGAACGCGTTGGCTCTCTATTTCGTGTACGAGACTGTAAATATTCTTTAAACGCTCTTGTATCTGAGTCATCATCGCCGCATCCGTCGTAAACGGCATTGTGGAAATACAAAAATTAGTTGTATATTCACTGTAGTAGATAGTGATTTATCGATTACAATATGCTATCGATTGCTTTTCTGTAATAAAAAAAGATATAACATATTCGTTTTAGAGACATCTCTTTAATTATGATATAAATTACATACTTTTCTATTATTGAATTACATCTTTTCACAATTTAAAAAACAAATATGTTTTATATTTAATGTGTTCATATAATTTCAAAATATTGAACACTGTAATAAGATTGAAGAAAGATTTCTAAATTATATTAAGAGCGATCCGTCTTGAATTTGTACTTCTTAAGATTAATATTCCAATATTCATATTCAACTAGCGATTCAATATTTTTCCAAAAACTTTTTGGAATCGATTGTGTATCTTTGTCAAATTTCTTCTCAAATCTCTTATACTTTCGTTTAATATGGAAGAAAATACGCAATTAGCTATGAACATAATATAAAATGTGACATTCCTATGTTTACGGGATTAAAATATTATAAATGAATAATTTCTTTACAAAAATATTCTAATAAAAATAATCGATAATAATCAATAATGAATATTACGAAAAAGAAAAAGAAATTTATATTGGTTTTATGTAGCAGCGTTCTAATTTTGATTGTTTCTTTTGTAATCAACATAAAATTTATTGTTTCCTTTATTAATGTTAGGAATGTTATTTCTATACATATTGCATAATATAAATATTTAATAATAGCATTAATATTGTAAAAAATATATATAAATAATTTAATCATTTTATATATAAATCATAAATATGTGTGTATATGTATATAAATTATTTTGTATATATTAATTAATATGTAACAAAATATAACTTGCATATATTTAAGTTATACAATTTAAGAAATGTACTATCTGGAAGGATTAAATATTCTTTAACTATTGTTTTATATTTATATTTTTTTGCATCTGATTATTATTTTCTTCATTTTCATTCAGTAACATAATAATCTAATTATAATGAACGAACTTATATTTATCATTCAATTTTATATATCAAACAGAAAATCTAACCAAATTCAATACGACATCGAATTTCTTATCGAGCGAGCAAGAGTTCACTCTTATGATTTTCATTAAATTTTGCGATATACCATCGACTTCCTTACATTATTCGGTTTGATGTTAGCACAGTGGCGCGCAATTGTCATTCACTTCCAAAAGTCTGTCTGCGAGTACTGCAAGTACTAACCTCCGCCAACAGCGTTCGTGCCAAAATGGCCGAGAGTCGGCGCGATACGATTGGATCAATACACTTACCCGGTCGGGAAATGGACTCATATCCGACTGGACGAACGCTCGACGAGTTTTCGGCGAACGAGGTTTCGTTTTAGAACATGGAGTTTCACGCAGATCTCCCTAGCACCAAATTATGAGAGGCACCGAGCATGCCGAGATGTTACACGTTCGATCGCTTACACGCATCTGCGCCATGTCGCTTCTCCCACTACCTTCCACTCGCGGTGAATCGAGTTTCCTATCAAGGCGATGCTGCCACCTTGCAGCAAGTTCTGTAAATAGCGTACGTGAGTGATAGAGCTGACCGTCGCAGAGTTGGAGTTACTTGTATCTATTGCATGCTTCGTTGCTATCTTATTAATATATTGAATATTTTTTATTTATCGATGAACAATAATAACATGTGATTATACCACGTTTCGTTTTTTTTTATGTCAAACTTTGTTGTAAATAATGTTAGAAAATTACAATTTTATGATAAGAGATTGAAAAGTGTCTCTAAAACGAAAAAAAAAAAAAAAATATAATGAAGTCTGTGGCAAAAATTTTATTTTAAATTTGATAAAATTTTTAACAAATTTTTTAACAAATCTTCTGCATTTAATACAGGTTACCTACAATTAGAATTTATATTGCATCAAAATGTATCTGAAAGGATAATCTATGAAAGTATGGATAATTACTGGAGTATTTATGCATATAGTTAAGACTGCAGTTAATCTATTATATAAATAATCAAATTATCAAGCTTTCTCGTTATAATTCGATCGTGCAACTTTCTCTGCCTTGCTTTCTACTTATTGCTATATATTCATTAGAGTCTGCAGAAAACAAGTTATTTTATGAATATCACGGTGTTGACAGCGAATAGACTAAATATCACCCATATGAGTCTAAATGTCGCATACTTTCTAAATTATCTTAAAATAAAAGATATTAAAAAAATTTAATTAAAGACTCAACTTTGAATATTATCTGTTATCATTAAATTACGGTGAATGGATTATTTTTTCCATCTTTTTTCTCAAGAGTGTCTTTCATAGTGATTTGTATCACGTCAATGCTATTACCGTACTTGAATCGTATTCGAAATATTTCATTGAACGTTCGATCGGACATTCCATTACTTGCGAGATGTAGACTATGTATGTGTACGTCAATGATAAAGTTGTTTCGATATGCGAAAAATGGCCGTACGCTGATAATTTTTCTCAGGACGAACTCGTTCCTCGTAGATCCAATCGTGCATCGTATCGCACAGACAGGCTGGCTGCGGCACCAAGCGGAGGCATATATTGAATGTGGCGTGTATCATCGTTAACAACCAACAGGTTAACCGCGCTAACAGCATCGATAGCACCGCAGAATGCCATAACTCATTCGCGCCAAGGCATGCCAAGGCTTGGGAAAACTGAATCTAATCTCTTGATTAAATTCATACTTCCGCGGCGAATCTTTGCATTATCGTACTTTGATAAACGTAGCCATCCTTTGTATGAAATTCCCTATGATAAATGATAATCCACGGTTTAACAACCGAATTGAAATTGGCATAGTTACAAAAGAGAAAGAGTAAAAAGAATCTAATCTGCGTGAAAATATCGTATCGAAAAACAGCAGAATTCAATATTTAACTATTTTTATTTTCATCATAGTTAGAATAACAATTATATAATAAAAATTTTGCGTAATACATTAGTAGAAAACGTATGATTGCGTACTATGAATTTACTTGCCGTTGTCAGACGATGCATTTCAACGGGCGCCGATCGCAGCGTCCGTTTCGATAAATCGGTTTCGATTTCGCGGGATTTCGCAGTGGAAACGTGTCGCGCCGTTCCCGAAGATATGCGATCGCCTGGCATATCGCAACGACGTATTGCGTAAGGGGCACGTCTATCATTGGTGCTCCGACAGTGCATGCGGCGATGACGCATGGTGCACGGAACCGTGCCATAACGCGTCGTACGTAGAACTTGAGAGAATCCCGAGCCCGCTTGGACCATTATCGCGTCTGCCTTCGTCTCTCGTGCCGCGTCTACATAGGTATTCCCCATGTACCATATATACGTGCACCTGTCGATATACGGCTTCGTCGCGACGCCAGCCGTATGCATTCGGGCTCTTATGAACTCCGTGACCTATCCGCAATGAGATGCGTGTCACGCATGCTACGGGCGCGCACGTGTACCGATGCTGTATACTGGCATCGTCGAGAAATCGCAGACGATTCGGCGGCCTTGTACGTCCCTCGAGAGTCTCACGCATGTGTGAATTATGTATACACACGCGCAACGTCGATGAATATCCCGGTGGAACGCCTGAAACTTGATTTCTTCATTTTAAGCGAAGTGCGAAGCACGATATAAACGTAACTCGCTATTACTGATATTTCACTGGTCTGACTTATTTATATTTTCAACAATAATTTAATTTAATCGGAATTTTTCAAATTTTATGATCAACAACACAAAGCCATTCTAAAATTATTATAGGTATATTTGTATTGTCTTTGAGCGTTATGTTGATATAAATAGATTTTATAAAATATTATTAAATATTATTAAATCGTATATATCTCGTTTCTCACTTTAATTATTTCGGCGAAACTCAATTTTGAATATTCGTGCTTTTATTGGATGGAAATCAAATTCTTTTTACACATCTAGTACAACCGCGAATGGGCCATTAAAATGTGCTGCGACAATGGTGAGCTCAGCTCACGTCACTTACATAGGTATTACATATATGTATGTATGTACGAATGTAGATTTCGAAATATAGAACAAGGTGTCTAATGAGGCGTAAGGAGAGATCCTGGGCCTCGAGCAAAATCCTCACGCCATTCATCCGCACATGTGTATTTTCACTGACACTGTCTCTTTCAACTCTCATTACTGAATTCGCGTGACGAATCCTGCAGCGAAACTTCGAATCGCGATAAATTGAACACATGACGGCAATTAAATAAGTAGACTTGACAGAAATAGAGAACAGAATAAATTTTATTTTTTTTTATAATCTTTTATTTTATCGCTTTGTTTAATTATTATATTATGACTGTCTAGCAATGTTTATACTTACAGTTCTAATAAAAAAATAAATCACTGACTATAACAATGTTCTCTTTTTAAAGATTTGCATTGTGTGTGATGCGCGTACGGAGAAAAAACAAAAGAAGCCTCCGAGAAACGAGTATAAAAATGAAAATTTATTATACCAGTTGTGACGTTTATATTTCATTTGAGGCATTCAGTAAGCAAACATGATGCAGGACAAAGCAAAATAATGCGACGGAAGTGCCGCTGAAAGTACACGGACATTCACATAAATCGATCGTGCGTAGCGAACGGCTGATTCGATGGTAGCTCGCGCGATTCGATCTTCATCTAATATTGGCGCTTTACGACGCACGACTTAACGACTTGTTGCAGTCGTTAATCCGGCTACGAGGCCGGATACCGGCGCGTATAAACGACATTTTAAACGAATCTTCTGCAAGGCGCGGAATGAAAATGTCAACTGCAGCTACGTTATCGTTGATGCGAACGGGAAACAAGAGCCTGCAAAGAAAGGCGGAACGCGAGATAGGAAGTTTGACTCGAAAATACAATCTATACAGGGATTCAATATCTTGTGATTGTTACACATTTATTCATTCTTTTGTTTCTCCAAATTGTCGAAGCAGATCATTCAGCAGAGGCAGTAAAGACAGATTTCCAATCGTAATCGTAATTCTTGCGTAAAATCAAGCAAACTGCAAACAAATATATAAGAGAAATCAATTTTTTAGCTCGTATTTTATTTTCGAGATTTTCCCATCTGTAATTAATTATCATGTATGAAAAATATTGTAATGGATATTTTTTTAAATCTTACATTAAAATATATCGATATAATATTATCGAGCTGAAATATATTAATACTTGTACAATTTTGTGTATCTATTTATGCGAAAAATAGAATATAAAAGTTAAAGATAAAAAAATGATAAAATTGGGAAATCTTTCTTTAACATTTATTTCTCACAATTTATAGTATTTTTATTGATTATCGAAGAAATAATAAGAGAGCTATATGCTGTGAATTGGCATTTATTGTTCGTGTAAAAATCATTGTTTCTGTATCGCGGTTTTGAATATTCTCTTGATATGTGTATATTTGATGCACAATCGGCATGTTAGTGACGACCACGCGAAATGTCACAGCGTCTCCTCCACAGAGACTTACCTGGATTCGTCTGGAAGCGCCAGACGAGAGCTCGTAAGAATAGCGAGAAGTCGAAGAGAGAATTGAACTTGCAAATGGTAGCCGTTCAAACGGAATCGATACGTCGTGATTTCCCTATCCTGTATTACCTTTCCTTTTCTCTAACTGGTATCGGACGATTTATCGAGGCGAATCGGGGAAAACAAATGCGGAGCTTGGAGGTCGGCCGCCATGTCTGCGCTTTGTTGCATGTAAAAGTAAACATATTATCATGCGTACACGTCGATGCGTGTCTTATCTTTTATCTCGAGGGCTTCGCTTCCGGCCGGATAGAATATTCAACGAAGGCGACATCGACGTATGCGCGCTGCAAACCAAATATTCCTTTCCGTCCACGCACGCGACCAACGTAGCCCGTAATCGGATCAGTCGGACAGAAAGGAGCGGTGGAGCAGAGAGGAGAGGTGATAAAGGTCGAATCACAGAGGGGGCGCGGCTCTCTCAAGGCATAAGAGATATTTGATTTACGCCAGACACTCGGATCCGAAGTGTCAGGATGTTGAACGGGCTTCCTTCCTTGGCGCGAAAGTACACGTGGAAATCCCTCGGCCGCTATATAATGCAGAACCATGCGCATTAGCGCGATTAGATCGACGTTCGAATTGACATTGTAGTCGTTGCACCCCTTCTCCTCCTCTTTCCTCTTCGCCGTTAGTTTATTTTTTATAAGGCGCAAGGCATGGACTGCCATATGCGGTTCGTTGGTAGCATGAGGACTCTGTGACACGCGTAGCATAAGGGACCGCCTTGTGTTTGCGCAGCGAAGCTTCTACAGATGGGAATTATCGAATTTCAGAAACGCCCGCGTACGGTACGATTATTATTTCAATAAACATACGAAATTCGACCAGGTGAGCAACGGCAGGCCGGAATGGTAGTCAAAACTAACAGGCACCCTCGCTGTCTCTCGAGAACGATAATGCCGCCTCCGTTGCCGTGAAATTTGTCCATAAATATTGGCATAGAATAATCGATGTGACAGTGCGAATATTCCATCAAGGGATGAATGATATCATGACAATCGATATTATGCTGTCGTGATATCGATATTATATTGTCTCTTTCTGCTGTATTTCTTGCC